ACGTCAAGGCGCCACGTGCGCAGATGCAGTGGCATCTCAACGCCATTGAGCATGGAGCGGAGGGTCAGGTCGTCCACGTCACAGCCAACGTCAAGCGACACAGCATCGCGACTGTCGAGAGCGCCGGCGATGAGTGCGACAAGTAAAGCTGCATCAGAATCCATGAGACCCGCTAGGTTCATACCACGCACAACGCGGCCGAGAGTTGCCACGTCTCCGCTCGCCGCCGGCCCCAGCTCTACGAGTGCGGAAACGGCCGCGGCACCACATGCCACATCAGATTCGTCAGAGTCATAACCGCCGGGGGGGGTCGCTCTAGTCAGCAGAAGAGGGGGTGCACCGAATTGGCGGGCCCGCTCTGAGTGCGCAAGCGAGGCAAGTGCAACATCAGCCCGAACAACGGCAGAGACACGGGCGCTGGCTGCATGAACGCCGTTAGCCGACGCGACCGCTGCCATGACCTCAGGCGCGCTGGCTGCTATTAGCGCACACGACTCAAGCTCGCCAAAGACGGCACCCGAAGACGCCCAGTCCAAGACCCCCTTGTCCGAACGCTTGGACCTGACGTTCGGTACTGACTGCAGGGCTGCGCTCATTGCAACCCGCTGCAATTCACTGAGCGCCACTGCCTGTTCCAGTCGTTGGAGTCGGTCGCCCCGCAAACTCTCGCTAAGTGGCGCTGCGGCTGTCTCTCCGCTCCGTGCCCGCTCCGTATCACCAAGACCCAACGTATCCGAAGTTGCCTGATGCAACATCGTCACAAAATGTGGCTCCGAGCATGTCTCCGTCAGGACACGCGCGAGAGGCCGTGTCTGCGTGGGGCAAAAGGCACTGCCCGGACGAAGCGCGCGCGCGGGAGTAGGGGGTCTTGGGCAGTGCCGCATACAGCTTGGCCCCATGCCCAAGTCTCTTCGCGTCCGCACTGGGCTCAATGGGGGGAAATACGTGCCTCGAAGGTCTCTCGGGTCTCCTTTGGTGAATAGGCTTGCAACTGTTCCAACAGGATGGAAATTTGATGGTGATCCATCAAGAAGTTTGAGCTGTCTGAGTTAGGCTTGCGCCGCTTTTAGCGAGTGGTGAATCTCGCCCGGAGTTTTAACTTTTACGACAAGTGGGTGAGCCCGTGAGAATCCAGTCGACTTCGCTTGTCAGGGGGTACCGGTACCTCGGCGAACCAGCTGCGATAGATAGATCTAGGTGCGATCTACGTTAAGTAGCCGGTGGCGCACGGCTCTGACAGCTACAAGCTCGAACTCCCACCCCGGGCCTCAGCCCGGGAACTGCGCTCCCACCGCCCGGAGTCGGTGGTATTGCCCGGCTCCGGCTCTGCGGAGGCTCCCCCAGTAGCGTGGCTTCCGTAGAAACCACCCGTAGTGACGCGTTCTAAGACGAGTCCGACGCGTTGGATGGGAATCCGATGTCCAATCCGACCACTCGATGATCGCGTTCCGCGCGGCGGCCGCGCGTCGCTCCGCGGCCGCGTTCGCGCGCGAATAAAACCCCGAAAACGGTACCTCCGGGGACGACCGGACAACCGAGCGACGACGCTCGCCGGCGTCCGTCGGCGGGGTGTCGGTGGCCATTTAAGTGGGAATGACCCCGCGTCGATAGCCGGAGAACACCCAGAGCACCAACGAAAGTCAACATCTCGTCAAGGTGCCGCCAAGAACACCAAATAGCGCAGGGCATGCGGCGGGCCCGGCCGCTTCCGGCGGGAGCGAGG